ATATGAGTAATTAAACATATGGTAAACAATCATAAATGATGTAGTGAGTAATTAGCAGAATTCCCACCCCCTCCCCCCCTTTTCATTAGTTTTTAAGTATCTGTAATAAGGCTGCTATTGGAACTTTTCCTTGGTGGCCTAGTGGCAAGAAGCTGCGCTACAATCCTGAAAACATGTGGTTTGAGTCTGTCAGCTGCTCTGAGGGAGAACATGGGCAATATCCTCCATAGTGATTAAGTGCCTCTGAAAACTCACTTGGAGAGTCAGCTATGGGTCAATTCTGACTATGGTACACAACAACAACAACAACAACAACAAATCCTCACTTACTTTCGGCATGTTGCCAGGAGGGACCAGTTCTTGGTGAAGAACATCACTCTTAGAAATGTGGAGGGACAGTGCACGAGAAGGGAGACCCTGGATGAGATGCTGGTAGATGTGTTGGAGGCAGTAAGATTGGCTCGAGATAGGTCAGGATTCAGACCTATTGTGTATGGGGTCAGTATGAGTGGCAGTTGACTCAATGGCACCTAATAATAACACATCTTCTCCCTGTCTCAACTCAAAGTTGCAAGGTTCGAACTATGGGTATGAGCATATCATACATTGTGAGGATGGTGCAAAATAGGGCAAGATTCAGATTTGTTATTCACAGCATTGTTGTGAGTGGTAGTCAACTCAATGGCACCCAACAGCAACAAACAACAGCTAAAATTTTGTTCAAAGACACTTTGAGTGAACACATTTGACCTGCCTTTACCTTTTGTTCTATAATTAAAATATCAGACTCACAGAGTTAGAATCAACTCTTTTGCTCACCATTAAGCAGCTTTTCAAGAAGCTGTACATTTCACAGGAAGATATTGCCCATCTTTTTCCTGTGGTGTGCTGATGGATTCAAGCCAACAGAGAAATACTGACCTTGGACTAAGAGTACAACTTGCTATAGATTATACTACCAGTGTTCCCTGTACTGCACTTACGGAATATTTTAGAATTTGAGGGAGCTTGAGTGGTGAAGTGGCTCATTTCTTGGCTTTTTACTCAACAATAAGCTATTTAATCTCAGCAGCCTCTCTGTAAGAGAGAGATATGGCAGCTTCTGTAAAGATCGCAGCCTTGGGAACCCAATAGGGCCATTCTACTCTACCCCGCAGAGTCACTAGGAGTTGGAATTGATGGGCAGCTGTGGGTTTAGGATTTTCAGGTTTTAATTCTAACTCGAGATCAACTGTGAGGTTTTTAGGTTCTATTTTTTTCAAGTCTTGATGCGAACATTTAAACATGTTATAGTTGGTAATATATTAACTAAATCTATAGTCTGTGCACAGAAGTTTTGTATTATAAATGGATAATCAGTGAGGACAAATCTTTTTCACCTTTAGGAGACATTGCACACCAAAACCAAATATGCTGCTGTCTAGTTGATTCTAACTCAGCAGTTTTCATCAGCTACCACCAGTTTTCCCAGGCTACAAATCCTAGTAAGAGCAGATTACCTAATCTTTCTCTCTTAGAGCAGATCGTAGAGTCAAACTTCCAGTCTTTCTGTAAGACACATGATACCAGTTGTCTGTAAATTACTGCCTCCTCTTTCCTTCCCAATCATTACCCATAGTGCCTAACTATACAGATATTTCATGCTTTCCAGTTTTCTGAGACTGTGAACAGGGCTGTGCTCGCTAAAACCATGCAAGGTGATCTGAATGATGAGGATCTAACAACAGTGGCCAACTCTGTGGCCAGCACCCCTTCATCCTTGTGCTGCACACGGTTTTTATTATCATTTATTGAAAGAGTTCCAACTCAAAATTTAAAAGGACGTTCCTCTGATACTTCCAATTGTCACATAGAAGAACAATGCAAAAATATCTGCTCTTAAATAGTTAACTCTCAGCTTTCCAGAATTAACTGTCAGGGTTCACTTCCATACCTTGCAGACTTCAAATACTTTGTCTGGTTTTCCACTTAGTTTTATCTTGATTTTAGGCGAATTGGAAATCTTGTACACTATTTCTTTTCCAAGGCGGTTACACTTGTACATATCTCAAGTATCTATGGTGGCTAGTTTCTGTCTCAATAGACCTGATAAGGCAGTATTTTAGTTAATATGTAGTGAAGTTCTGAGAGTGCTCTACCTAACTTCCCTGTCTTCAACTCACCCTAGGAATACCTGTGTGCTAATTTCAGCTTTGTTTGTCCTTTAATTTTAAAATATGTATTTGGCGCCAAAGGATCCTGTTTCCTTCTCTGCTGCATCGCCTGATTCAGGCACTTCTATTTTTCCAATTCTTATTTGTTAGAATTGTGCTACTATTTGCCAATACATAGAGGGTCAGGGCACAATTCCCTGCATAGTTGAACCAGCCTCAAAACAGTAAAGTGGTGGATGTTCCTCCTAAGGGTTCCAGTTTCAGAGTGTGGACGAGTCACCTGCTTGCTGAAATGCAACTTGCGTTTTCAACTTTGTTTACTTTGCATGTGAAGCACTCTTCTAAGACCTAACCTTTAATCTGTGAGAGACTATCTTTTATGGGCGTGAAAGAGAGCTTAGTCACGACATGAGTGTAATGTGACTGTTGCAACAAGGCTGGATTGAAAGGTCTAAATTACAAGATCTAAATATTATCTTAAAAGGCAAAGATATTCTAGCATGTTAAACAGAAAGCAAAACACTTCTCAAGCCACTCTTTCAAGTAACTGAAGTGATGAAGCCTAAAGAATTCATGGATTGAAATGGAGACAATGAGGACAGCCATCTAGAACCCTGCCCGTGGGGAAGTGATGAAGGACATTTACTGGCTTATCCTGAAACTTGTCAACTTTGCAACCGTTGGCTGCATATGGATTTCTGTGGTCCAGCCTACCATCTTAAACAGCTGCCTCAAGTCATGTGTACTTAACCTGGTAAGTTTTAGCCGTCTAATAGTTATTACTACAGGAACTAGAGCAAACAGGTTCAAAGTTACTGTAACTGAATTATTCAAAACTTTTCTCATGCAATATCTCAATATCTCAAGGCAATAAAAAGGATGTATTTTTTTCTGAAATAGGTTAGAAATACTGATTTATTGTTAAATTCAGAATACTAACTTATATCTCAGATGGTAGAACAAGGCTACTTGTTTCTTTATCCATTTTAAAATATTTTATTTGGGTGTCAGGATTTGCGCAAAGGAGGCTTGGTAAAACGACGTCAGTTTTGCATGCTTTTTTTTTTTTTAAATCTTGATTTTAAGTCATTTATTACAAAACCATTCATATTTGTCTAGAAATACAAAATAAGTTTGGCGACACTGTAATGCTATCTAGTTCCAAACAGACAGTATCATTTATATAAGCTGATGGCTGTATGGGGGTTGGAGACCAAGGGAGCACATACAGTCCCATGGAAAGGTTATTTGCAAATGCCTTCATTATATTTGTATATTGTGATAATTTTTTTGTATCTGTGTTTTCTGATATAGATATTTGTGGGGTTTTTCCCCCCTCATTTCTGGGTTTCATGACAATATGCATGCAGGATATGTTTTCTTCTTTTTTTTTTGTTATTATGATTTAGTTAAAATAGTCAATGAGTCCAGTTTAAAAATGTAATATAGTCTGGCTAGGAAAAAAGAGATTCCTCTTATCCAAACTCACAGGAGAGGAAACTGCAGGGGGGTTTGCATATGGCATTGCTTAAGGGGAAACTTTTAAAAATAATGAAAGCACTAAGCATAGTACTTGTTGTGACGCTAACTTATAGTGATAGAATTTTGTGATACATTAAAAGAAGACTTTATTTGGGTTACACCCAAATTAACCATGAAAATTGAAGATGTTACACAGGTCATAGAACGTTAACAAAACCCTTGACATTTTTATAGATCTTTCTTGAAGACTGCATTGTAGTTTGCTGTGTTTTTTTGTTTGTTTGTTTGTTTGTTTTTTAAATGTAGCTTTTTGGTAGTTGTCAGGTACAATTAAATAAAAGAAAATTGAGGAATAGAACTATTAGTTTCTTTTTAATGATTTGTTCTCTATAATTATCGCAGAATTATATATTTACAAGTTATTTATAAAATAGAAAATGGGGGAAAACTGTAATCTCATCACTTAACTTTTGGTCATAATTTATTTTAGACTTTTCTCCCTTTATACATACTTTTACACACAACCTCTAACTTTTTCCACTTAATATTACATTAGAAAGGATTCTTCTGGTTGGAAATAGCATTTTTAATATGGTTGAGGCATTTCAGCATTCTGTTATTGTTAAGATTAATTTTAGTTGTTTCCAATATTGTAGTCTCCATTTTATTTTACTTTATTGTCATCTCATCTTCCTGTGTGGGTTCCTTGACTTCACAGTTGGCAGTAGAAGCAGACAGTTTGTTCCTTTGTTGAGTTGCCTTCCGCTCACCACCTACAGAGAAGGCACAGCTGATGTGTGTGGTGGGAACTGCAAGAGAGACATGGTTGGCCAACCTGATCAGTGAATGTAAAAAAATGCCCCTTTGGGCCTCCCACACAGAGCCTGGGAGACAAAAGTCAGGAAAAGAAGCAATTGAATTGTAGCAATGGATCAGGAGAGAGCATATGTAACATACCTGAGTTGTGCTTTCTGGAATGTTTTTGAGCCATCCTTTTTTTACATGGTCTTTTACAGTAAAAGGTATTATTAGTTTTTTTTTAAGTGGTGGGTTGGTTTTTTTTGTGGTTGTTTTTAGTGGTTTGGGTGAAAGTTAACAGAGTATATATACTTCTTATTCCATGATTTTTCCCACTCACCCATCTTTCCTGCTCTCTATTGCCGTCTGAACATTGTTTTAGAAAAATGCTGCCTTTCCCCCTCTTCAGTTTCATATGGCTGACTGTGCTAAAGAATATATTCCTCTTTTATAGGCATGTCTGTTGTTTGGTTGAAAGGTGACATCTGGAAGTGAGTTCAGTTCCAGGCTTGAAAGGTGACACAGACACAGGAGTTTCAGAGTCTCTATGAAACCAGTCATTGATGATTCTTTATATTAAAACATTTTTTTAAAGAAACATAAAAGAGTCTTGTTCAGAGGAATGCTGAAATTTCTGGATGAAGATGCTCACATGCTTTTTTGTGCTTAAACATAGATATTTTCCATTAATTGAAGGATCTGCTTATATTAACTTACCCTGCTATGTATCACAGAAAACACCAGTATTGTAAGATCTTTTATAAAACGTTTAAAAAAGATTCATAACAAAATAATTTATGGGGAAGTTTTTTCTAGAAGGCGATAAAACAAGTCAAATTAATATGAAGTGGGAGATGGTGGGTAATGGCAGTGTTTCATTTGGAGTAAAAATTAATTCCTACATCCCTCAAACTTGTTGAAGACACATGATAGATGGAGAAAGATTGAAATTATCAACATTTCATCCTGCTTGGATTCACAATCAACACCCTTGGTACCACCAGTCAGGAGATCAAGAGATATATTACAATGGGCAAATCCATTGGGACTCAATAAAGGCAAGTCAGGGGCCTCAATAAATTGCTGAGAAGCAACGATGTTGGTATGAAGACTAAAGTGTGCCCGATTCAGGCCATGGTCTTTTCCATCATTTGCTATGCATCTGAGAGCTGGTTAATGAATAAGAGTAAAATTGATGCCTTTGAGTTGTAGTGTTGGAGAAGAGCATTGAATATCTCATGGACTGCCAAAAGGATAAACAGATATGTCTTGGGAAAAGTGAAGCCAGAGTGCTCCTTAGGGGCAAAAATAGCAAAGCTTTGTCTCACTTATTTTGGGCATGTTGCTCGGAGAGGCTAGTCCTTGGAAAGGGACATTGTGCTTGGAAATGTGGAAGGTCAGTAAAAGAGAAGAAGACCCTTTACAAGATGGATTGACACAGTGACTGTAGCAATGGGCTCAGGTTTGTCAGATAAAGAGGATGGCACAGGCTAGGGCGGGGTTTAGGTCTGTTGTTACTATGGTCATACATCAGCACTTAACAATAACATAGCCCTCATATATTCAAATACGTTGTTGTTGTTAGGTGCTGTCACTCCTCATGTCTCTATGAAAACCAAATCTGAACCTTGCCCTATCGTATGCCATCCTCATGATCTCTGTCATGCTCAAGCTCACTGTGGGAGTGACAACCAGTTCATTTTGTTGAAGGTATTCTTCTCTTTCTCTAACTTCTACCTCTTTCCAAACATGATATCTCTCTTCAAGGACTGGTTTTTCCTGAAAATATGTCCACAGTGGGATGAAGTTTAACCATCCTTGCTGCTAAGGAGTATTCTGATTGCACTTCTGTCAAGACAGATTTGTTTGTTCCTTCAACAGTCTGTAAGATATTCAGTATTCTCAACCACCACAATTCTTGTTCTATCACATTTTTTCATTGTTCAACTTTCAGATGTATAGAAAGCAATTGAAAAGGCCATGGCTTGGATCAAAGACATCTTAGTTTTTTGTAGTGACCTTTTTGCTCTTTAGAACTTTGGAGAGGTCCTGGGAAGATTTCCCCAATGCAACACACCTTTTGATTTCTTGACTGCTGACACCATGAGTGTTGATTGTGGATTCAATTACTCTTAGCGAGTACTTACCTAAAAACAAAAACAAAGTTCTCCGCCCCCACCCCCACCCCCAACACACACACACACGCTTTCCAAGTACAAGTAGTCAAGGAATGCAGTGTAGAGAATCTTTATTCACATTTAAATGGGGGAAAAGAAAGCAACATTTGTTCTTTGGTTCCTGTTTTTGGTTACTTACCAAGTAAACACCCTTAATGGTAGGCCACTGGATGAATTTCCCAAGGGACAGGGCTTCTCCAGTGTTCCTAAGTGGAAGACCACTTTCAATTAATGAACTCAGCACACAGTTATTGGATGCTTAGTATCTTTCAGGTAATTGAATAAGTTCTGGGGCTAGAGTTAAAGAGTTTTACTCATGACATTCTTAGTATTACAAATTAAGGCTTGAATTTGGGTCTTAGTTCTTTCAGCTCGAGCCATGCTGACCAAACTTTCTACCCAAATATGTCTTGAAGAAGGTGCAATTAGGGTGTTCCTTGGAGGCAAAAGTGGTGAATCTTCATCTCAAGGTTGAGTATGCTGTTAGGAGTTAGTCCTTTAGAAAGATATCATATTTGGAAATGTAGAGTCAATGAAGGAGAGGAAGTCCCTCAAGAAGATGGATCCACACAGGACTCTAACTCAAATATCTCAGGGATGATGAGGATGGCACAGAATAGGACAAGATTCAGATCCGTTGTTCATAAGGCCTCTCTGAGTTGTAAGTGATTACTTCTAGCAACAGCAACAACAAGATGACATTATTAGAATACTTATCTGATTACCAAAGGACAATATAGCCATCTTTGTGAGTCCTTTCGTTTATACAGTTGTGAGGTTAGCATAAAAGTTGAGCTTTTTTAGCCATTACAGTTAGCCCACTCTGTTCTCCAGCTACCTTAACTGCAGACTTGCAAATCATCAACAGCTGTGGGACTAAGATAAGAGAAAGCAGGCTTCTAACACTGGGTAGTAAGACTTGAAGTGAGCAAGCTTTGTGGCAGCAAGACTTGAGGGCGACTGAATAAAGACCCTGATAGAGTGAGACCTTGGTGATGGTGGTGGAGAGATTGTGGTATTTCTGTGAAGAAATTGTGACAAGGTGTGATCCAAGGGTCCTTGCTGGCCATTGTTGTTGTTATGGGCCATCAAGTTGCTTGCAACTCAGAATGCTAAACCCTGCTCTATCCCTTGCAAATCTTACTGTCTTCAACACACTTATCTCCATTACCCCAGTTACTGAATCATTTAATCTCATCAAGGGTCTTCCTCTCCTGCACTTTCCCTCCACCTTTCCAAGCCTGATGTCCCTCTCCAAGGACTGATTCCACCTTGCAACATGTCCAAAGTATGTCAGACGAAGCTTCAGAATCCTTGCCTCCAAGGAGCAGCCTGGCTTCACCCTCTGCAGGACAAACCTGTTTGTTCTCCTAGCAATCCATGGTATATTCAGTACTCTTCTCCAGCACCACAGTGCAAAGTCATCAATTCTCCTTCTATCATCCCTAGTTATTATCCAGCTCTATGATGTCTAGCAAGTAATTGCAAAGACCATGGCCTATATCAGGCACACCTTAGTCTCCACACTGACATTGTTGCTCTTCAGTACTTTGGAGAGATCTCTGACA